CACCTCCTCCCCCCCCCGCTCCCCTCCTTACCCCGTCCCCAACAATCCACCCCCCGTTCCCCTCCTCCCTTAAACCCGCAGTTGGCAAACCATTACGACACGGTTGGACCCACCTTCAGGCCGTTAAGACAGTCCATCGGGGCCACCGCCGTGTTTACGAATTGTGTGCAGCGCCGCCGTGCGGGTTTGCCGTACAAGGCGGCGCTGGTGAACATGCTGGAGGCGACGCGGCCTGTCGGCGTGACCGGACCGCAGGTACAGCTCTGTTGTGAGCGTGTGTGTGCCCCTGGCCAGCGTGAGGGGCCGGATCGAGATGCAACAGAAACGTACACATACATATATACATATACACATACAGACAGACAGGCATGATGCACTCCTTGCAGGTATGCCTTATCGTGACCAACTTCATCTACTCGTCAACTCGCAGCTCCCAACCCATTGTCGTACCGGCAGCCATCAACATGTCGGACTACTCCACTACGGTGACGCCGGACAGGTACGACAACCGGGAATGGAGTAGGAGGCGGGGAGGGGAGGGAAAGGGGAAAGGGGAGGGGGAGGGGGAGGGGAAAAAAGTTCACGAAGTGGAGAGAAGGGTGGAACTGTACCTTCAATACACATATATCCACGTGGTGATGCACACTGGAGGGGTTTAGGTGTGTGTGTATGTGTTGCGACACGTGTGTTTTGGGGTTTAGCTTGTGTTGACCGGGCGTGTGTGTGCGTGTAGAACTAGCTAGTGATGGAACAACTGCCATAGACGGCACGTACGACACTATTTACAGGTGCCAGTACCACATTCGACGACATATCGTACAGAACGGGCACTAAAACCCCCCTCCTTTCTCTATCTCCCGGACCGTACACTGGGACATGCATCTCGACCTCTGGACGTCTCTACGGTCGTACATCGCAACAATGTACGACGACGATGCGTACATCCGCATATATATTATACATATCATTTTATATGATGTGCATATATTATTTAAAATATGAACGTCAGCTCGCTGGCATATCAGAACCTCTTCTACGGCGGCTATACGTACACTACAATAAATTCGTACTATGTGGTGGATAACGTCGTATCGGATCAGTGTCTGGAAGAGCGTCCCGGTACGGATTGCGTCACTTTGTTGCTCCAGCAGCTGGATAGTCAGGGCCAGGGGCAGCAGAGGAGCAGTACGCAGCAGCAACAGCAGGAGAAGGCCACTGGTGGTGGTGGCAGTAGCCATGAGCAA